GCARCACCACTCTGAAGATGCAAGCCACTCGTGCATGCGAAACGTCAGGAGGAAATTATTACGACGGCATAAAAGCCCGAGAAACTCACCAGTTTCAAGTTGAAAGCTTCAGGTTTTCCCATTAATAAGAAAAATGATACGGATACTATTTTATTCTAGAATGTCTAAGAGTCTAAGAAAGTTTATTTAAAAGACTCATCGAAATGCCTTAACTGTTATCAAAACACTTATTGAATGAAATTTTCACATGGTGGCTACTAAAGTACCATTTGGCCAGTAGAACGCGATGACCAAAACGTTCGGACAAGCTTTCAGCAGGAAAATAGTCGTGTAATTAATAGCGATCCGAACTTAAGCAGCTTAAGTACGTAAATAAAATAAGTGCATTAGCTGAATGGCGTCTACCTGTAGCGGCCACAGTGTACAATTAAAAGAACATCATGCTCGTACATATACAAATACGTACATAGGTAGACTTGTGTGTAATTACTCTTCAGCTGCATATGAAGATACGAATAAATATTACTTTTGAAATTATGCGTGGGAAGGTGGTGCTCTTCTTCCTCGGTACATCTTCTTTCCTAACTATTCTATTGCTTGTCATTATAAATATGGGTTTGGAATTTATGGCCGGTACCGTTAGTCTAATCTTCATCAATCCTGTGGGTTTACTTAATATGATTTAATGCGTTTTAATGCCGATTAAATAGTCAATATTTAATTGTCTGGCCCAAATACCTGGCTTTGAATAAAATCGTCAAACGAAGAAAGCCCGAGAAGATTTCAGCGATCGATAAAACGGTCTTCTGTCTTTTTTAACACGTCTTCAATGCGATTTAATGCCGTTTAAGTCATATTATCAACACTATCCGCGATTATTATTCTGATAGGAATACGTGTTTCTCAGGAATACCCGCCAACCTTTTCTTTTTCTTGCACTTAGAACCAGGTCACCTGGTTTACTGGCGATGGTTATAACTGCTTTTCACACTAGATTTTTTATTGTCTTTTTCGTTTATTTGCGATTTTCTGGACGAAACTGTTTTCTCAATAAACCGCTCAACTGTAATCGAATACATAAATCAAGCAGACGCGGAATGTGCGTGTCAATTAGCCTTATTGATCTTTAATGCTCTTTTTAAACAACATTCATTGATTTTCCGTGGAAAAAAATGGGTTACTCAGACTTCCATTGTCTCACAAATATGTTTTTAAGTAGCACATGTACTTAATTTTGAAATTAATGGATCAGTCAACGAGAAGCAGTTCTTGAATGTGATTTATTTTCTGTTTAATCGTCCGTTTATTTCCCTAATTTACTTGCTATCTGTTGAATTTGTTAGCTGAAAACACTATAAGGCCCCAATTGGATGAATTTTTTGGGCTTGAGGTAATTTATTAACAAACGTTACAAAACAGTAGTGATGGACAGTAAAAATTGCAATAAAACGCTTTTGATCCTTTAGTTGTTGCATGGTTTTCCGCATTAGAACCATTATCAACGTTTCGCCTATTTATATAGGGACGAAGGGCGAAACAAGGGAAAATATGCATTCACACACAATAAATTGATCAAAAGTTTGCCTGATCGCTAATTAAATCCGAGGAAACTTTGTAAGAAAATAAAAAAATACTGCGTAGAAGAACAAGGCCCGATTGCCTTATTAAAGGGATTTTTCGATTTCCACATGCAAAACACTTTATTAATCTGCCTTATTCGGGGTCGTCTTTTTGTATGCAAATTTCACCGCTAGTTCTTAAATATCTGTTATGCAACTTCAGCGACGGCACAATAGATCCTGCCGAGGTTTATATCGCATTAAATAAGGTAATGTGCCTGTAATAATCTTACCAATTATCTAAGAGAATAAGGAAATACCACGATGTCTTGGTCTTCGATATAATTAATGTCCGTTTATGCGTCTTTGAAAAATGCCAAAGTAGCCCAGAAAAAATCGTATTCTATGCCACATTTGGGCATGAGTTAATAGCAGGCGTAATTAAGCGTAGCTGCTGCATTTTGGGTGTTTTTGGACACTCATACTGACTGGTAGCCGGAAAATGCTGCGTTAAAAGCTCAGTTAATTCCGATCGGGTTCGTTCAATCTTCCACGTCCAACCGAGCATATTTCGGCAGTATTGTATTTCTAATTAAGCGCCCTTGATTGATAACACTCGAAGAAATCAATTTCAAATTCCTTTCGTTACAATAGTGGATTTTTTCCCCGCTCCATCTGCTCAATACGGTGTGTTTGATGTTTAAATTAGCAATGAATCAGTAACATTTTTCAGTCGGGAACGGAACTCGTAGGATAATTAATTTTATTTATTATCTATCGACATGTTTGATTTATCGATACGAGTCTATGTAATCATTTAATATTTACTTGATTGGCAGATTGATGTAATTATTCGGCTTTTGTACAGCCACCTGATGTTACGTTTTCCTTGGCCAAGTTTGCAGGATTTTTGAAAATTTATGCCAGAAAACTTCCAAACAAAAGTAGCATTACAGGGCAAATTTTCAAATTAGTAATGAAATTCATACAATTAGTATCGTTGTAATGTAACGAGATAATCTAAAGGCATAAACCCTGACTGGCAAGAAATCTAAATTTCAAATGGTAGAAACAAATCGTATACATTTTGCCCGTATAATTAATAGCAAGCCAATTTATAGAAACTTAGTAATGAATATATCAACGTCCCGGTGAAACAAAGGCCATTTAAATTACAAATTTTCACCATGGTGCCAGGAAACCGACATATCTTTGGTTTCAAACCAACTAAATCAGCTCGCTTAAATGATTTTTATAAAGTCATCAGCTTGGATAGAATTGATGATGTTTCTTGTACGTGGTTCAAGTACTTAGTAATATTTACACCACATTGTTCCGCAGGATTAAATGAGATCTTTAAGCTGATAGAGCGGGCTACTTACAAAAAGGTGTGTGTGAACAAACGCCAACAATGTTAATTCGGTTGTGGAATGCACGGAAGTTGTTTTTGGTTAAAGGAGCGAGTTTGGTTCAGCTAAAAATGACAATTTTGAATTGTCACATTCAGAAGAGGAAAAATGTTAAAAAAACGGAAGAAATATGCAAAAACAGGCGATTGGATAGTGAAAGAAGAGGCTAACTAAATTCGAGGAACTAAAGAATTAATTGCAAGTGATCTTGGTCTTACAAAAAAGTATTAAATCTGTTCTCGGAGCCCTTAAATATGATAAGAAAGCTGAACCGTTAAAAGTGGAAAACATGAAATTTGGAACCGAAGGTTTGAACAACAATATTTATTAAGTTTTACCTTGAAATTGTAGCACAATTTAGCAAGAAACATGTTTTTGTCCTTGATCATCTGTCTTATTAATTATTTTCATATACAAAGTCTTCAAACGCTCACTATTAAGCTACAGGATGGAAACTTTTTACATTATTACACTTTCTATAATTGAATGATGCTTGAAGTTTCCTCTACAAGCTTGAATGGCAAAAAATGAAAGCTACTAAAACTACAAAATTAGTTCCACATAAACCAGAATGATACTCAAAAAGTGTGCATAAGTCCACCATTGATTGCTTCATTTGTGCCTCGAAATAAAGTGAGAATTTCTTATGAAAAACTAATTTCACGATGACTGGCCGAATGGCACGGTTAAATTTATTTGGAAGCTTTCGAGAGCACTGAGCAAGTAAGTTATTTAAAATAGCTTTGTCTCTTTAGAAGGCAGGTAAATTGCTTGGAGTGGAAAGCTTTAAGGTATTTAAAGCGGCAAAAAATTGGAAATTCTTTATAAAGTGGACATTTTTTGGACTTGGGACTAGTTCGCTGCTTAAGCAAGTCGAAGGATAATCGAAAATTGATCTTGTTGCTTAGACGAGCTGCCGCCACCGGTTTTACACTTGAATTCTCAATTTGATGGGATTTAGGTTTTTGTGTTGCAAAGGTTCCAGTTACGTCTGGTCTGGGTTCTTTTAATAACATTTTTATGGACGAATTCTAATGGTTTTGTATGTTGCAATTTGATGTACCTAAACTGTAAACTTTGAGTTTTGACTGGGTGAATCGGGGGACTCACAGATTATTCAAAAAACATGAATTTCCAGTAGCCAAAGTCACATAAAATCAGCCATAAAACCGCACTCAAACATCAGTTTAAAACCGTGTAATCTCGCTATGTTAATATGGCCGATTAAGGAAA